ATAATATGAATGCAAGATATAATAAACATGCACATGCATAAGCTACAAAAAGAAAAAAAAAGTAGTCAGTGTTTTTTATTTTCAAGGTTATATTCAGGTTTTATTTCTCCCACTCTTGTTGAGACAAGGATGCATCTCTGTTGAAGCGTTTGGGGTTCAGCTACAATCTGATAACCCACTTCTGAAAGTCATTTACTTCCAACAGGCCCAAGGGAATTACTACTTCAGCTGCGGTTAGCATTCCTAGCATCCTCAGCAGCAGTTAGTACCGCACATAGCGACCTGCCAGTTGGCAAATGTGATATTGTCTGCTATGTATTTAGGGTCACAGGATGGCTAGCATTCTGTTTGTAAGAAGTATTTTGAAACCAGCTATGATAGGGATACACTATATAGACAGCTCCATAATTATCGGCACATTTCATTAAAATGTTCAAAAATAAATAGGGATGCATCGATACTGATACTGGTATTGGGTATCAGTCTGATACCCTGCTCATTTACTCATACTCGTAAAAAAGCTCTGATACCAACATATGATATTGTGTGATACTATTAAGTATTGTATGTTTTTAAACAGTAACTTTAATAGAGAGTGCAAGGGTGGCTGACCTGAGCATACAGAGCAGTATCAGTGAGCATGCTCATTAAAAAAGTGCGCAAGGTGCTGTTAATTGCTCACACACTAAGTATTCATGACCATGGAGCAGTGAAGTGAGCATACAGAGAAACTGTTGCACATGGAAGAACCTTAGTTCTATGAGCACTTAGCACTGAGACACACACGCTTCCTTTCCCCAGGGTGTACGCTTTGCTTGAGGGTCAAAGTGCAATTCACAGCACCTTGTGATCACTTTTAATGAGTATGCTGACTATTATTGCTCTGTGTGCTCAGGTCGGCTACCCTCACACTATCTATTAAAGATAATGGTTAAATGACGTGGCATTTAAGGTAGCAATGCATCCCTAATAAATACAGTATGTACTCAATACACACATAGGTTTCCTGGAGCCTTCATGCCGAGTTCTGACTAGATCAGCTCGTTTATCCTTTCAGTTTATATAGTTTATACTTACATATGTAATTAGTGCTCTATTTCACTCCTCCTAACCACCAGGCCAGTGAATATGTCCTGAGGAACTGACCTACCTTAGGACTGACTGGAAAGATGTACGTAGATGACCACCACCCTTATGCCACTGGAAGAGGGCAGTGTTAACCTTGGAAAACCTGGAGAAGCTGATGCCCAGGTAGCAACAGCCCAGCTTTCCTGGAGCAGCACGCTTCTAAATAATGCTCACGAGGAGTAGAAGATCTTCATAGAGTAGCATGCTACAGTAGGGATCAGGTGTCTGGCTCACCTGTAGGCCATGGTGATCACTGTGTCCAACTACAGTGACTTATTTCAACAATCTCTACTTTTGTCTACACTTGCTGTTTATATCATATGTAGAATGTAAATGTGCAATTACTATCTCTGGTCACTTACTCAACTACGGTCACTTATTCCATTTCAATCTGTACTTCTGTGTGTCTATATATATACTGAACTGTTTACACCAATGTAGAGGGTAATGTGCAGTACTATCACTGGTCACTTTTCAGAATGTTCTGAATGTTCAATATGCAATATTATGACTTAGTCACCTGCTGTATATACTTTATACTGTATACTTGCTGTACATACATACTTTTATACTATATGGTATACTCACTTTATAGTCTATTTATTTTCTAATGTTATATGTTTCTTTTTTATAACACCAGTCAGAAGCAGTGCTCCTTATTTTGTTGTATATAGAGATATACAATGACAATAAAGGCTTTCATTTCATTTCATTTCATTCATTTTCATTTCCCCATGTCCTTCCATCATGACAAATGAGTGGTGATTTGATTTGATGATTGGATCGCAGCTATCCTGTACATATAGGGCAATACGGTGTGTATGGAGCATAACAAGGACTGCTCTGCAGTATTGCCCTCATGGAATGCTACAAGATCAATCATTTGGTTAACAAAATAGGTGATACTACTTTGGGCACAAACCCTCGCTCAACCACAAAGCGAGGGTTTGCATTCAGGAGTGTTTCCTGTACTGCTATATCACAGTCTTCTACCTGCACTTCACTCCAAGAAGCCAAACCCACAGGTGCAGGTAATCTGGCCAAGGGTGCCAAGTTTTTCTGTTAATTTGGGACAACAGATCTATTGAAAGAGGAACCTGCCAAGGTGTTACAACCACTAGTGAGAGCAGCAGTAGAAACCATGGTCTCATGGGCCACTTCAAGGCCACAAGCAGGTCTTTGTGGCCTGATTGTTGAGTTCTGTTCAATATAGACAGAATCAGCAGTAGAGGCTGAAATGTGTACAGTAGACAGTGAGGCCAGTCGTGGGCCATTGCGTCCTGACCCTGCAAACTGTCCAGCTCTGCCTGGCAGAACCACAGTTGACAATGAGTCAATTTAGCATCACTGAAGAGGTCTACCTGTGCCTTCTCAAACTTTGCCCAGATTTGTGACACCACTTCAGGGTGCAGGTGCTACTCTTCTGCTGTCTTGACAGCATGTCTGCTACACTACTGTGTCCTCCCAGCAGGTGCGCAAGGGAGAACCACTCAACCATGCTAGCAGCACGTATTTACAGGCCCACAGGACGCTAGATTTCGGGTTATGTGGAAAAACTCATTGCAGCCAAGAAAAGATGACGGGAGACAGGAGTCTGTCTCCAGTTTGGAGGACAGGGTACCTGAAACTATAAACGCAGTCACAAGCAGTTTCGCAGATAGCTCTAAGAAGAGGTCCCATGAAAAAAAACAAAAGGGAAATAGTGGCTAGCATGATAATGGTATTTATATCAAATACTTGGTATCTGGTAAAGGTTTTTATAGGACTTTTTAGGATTTATGTCCAGATGGCCATTGCAAAACATCCATTTTGTTCATGCAACCATTTCTGTGTTGATTTGCTGTTGAGGCAAGCACATTTGGGGCTAAAATATCGTTGTCTAAAATATTCAGGATGCTCATGCTCATTCATAAATGTACTTATATATTTTTCTACTACCCATTTATTTATTTATCTATCTATCTATCTATTTAATTATTATTATTATTATTATTATTATTATTATTATTATTATTAACTACTTATAATTTATTATTTTATTTATTATTTTACTAAGCACAGTGGCTTAGTGGTTGGGGTTGGGGGTTCGAATCCCGCCTATGCCCTGTGTGTGTGGAGTTTGCATGTTCTCCCCATGCTTCAGGGGTTTCCTCTGGGTACTCTGGTTTCCTCCTCCAGTCCAAAGACATGCGCTGTAGGCTGATTGGCATCTCTAAATTGTCCATAGTGTGTGAATGGGTGTGTGAGCGTGTGCGCGATTGTGCCCTGTGATGGGTTGGCACTCTGTCCAGGGTGTCCCCCGGGTTTGTGCCCTGAGTCTCCTGGGATAGACTCCAGGTTACCCCACGACCCTGTGTAGGATAAGCGGTACAGAGAATGGATGGATGGATGGATGGATTTATTATTTTATTTATATCCATTACTGTCCACTACTGGTAGACAAGAAGTAAGTAGTTTCTCCAGTTGTTTGAGTGGAATTTATTATTATTATTATTATTATTATTATTATTATTATTTATCCCCAATGTTAATGTCTCAGTTAATGTTTTATCACATACTATTTAATATTACTACTACTAATACTAACTACTGTTATGTTCTAGTACGGGCTTTTGTGTTCAACCTTCAAGTTCGCCCCAGCAGCAAAGCATTGTGGGAAGGCATGGAACCGTGAAACGCTAAAGTATGGCGGATGGGGAAGAGCCGTAAGTAGCGTTGAATGAACGAACTGTTTTAGGGACAGATATTGTTGATATTTTGACCAGTAGCCGGTGTAACAAGGACGTGCTTGAATCCTCTTTTCTTCTTTCATTTTAGGGCGAAGAAAAGACAGAGAATAGAGGAGCAGCCTGAGAAGTTAGTGATGAAATGCTAAGCGCTGGCTGCAGGTTTGAGTATTGCACAGCTTAGGGAGTGTGAAAATTCATCCTTTTTCATCCAAGTTCAGTATATAAACATTGCTAAAAACTGACCCATATAGTTTGGAAAAGCAGTACCGTAAACCCCAAGGTGGAATGTAACCGGTGAATTATTTTGGTTCCGGATTGTGCTTCATTTTAAGCCGTTAACTGGCTAACGGCTAACTAGCGTTAGCTTACCAGCTGTCAACACAAACAAGGCCTGTACACAGATCAGAGAGAAATCATCAGCTAGTCAATGCTCTGTGAAGTGGTGATGAATTTTCACATAATGCACTGTGGCCAATGTTAGCTATCTTGTCTTATTCTATCAAATCAGTCTCGACTGTTGCCTGTGTTTTACTGTAATTTTTGTGTGTATGGGGGGGAGTACATTCCACTAAAAGAACTAAATATAGTTATATAAAACTGTATGTATATATACATACATATACTCATAAATAAGGCAGACAGACCACAACAGATTCAGTGTGTACCTCTAACAAAATCTAGATGAACCCTGTTCCTGCTTATTCAAGTCTGAATGGTACGTCCAGGATAGAATTTTTCTCGCTTATTCAAGTCTGGATGTAAAAACTAATTGAGACCCATTCCCACTAATTCAGTCTTGGGTGTAAAATCTAGGTGAGACCTGTTTCCGCTAATTTAATCCTGGATGTTGTAATTGAGGTTCGCGAGTGTGTACACAACTGCAGGAATAGCAAAATGTCAGATAAAGTGCACAAAAAAAGCAACTTTTCCCCCATGCTGAGCATTAAACTGTAATGTTGTTGTTGTTGTTCTTTCGGCTGCTCCCGTTTGGGGTCGCCAGAGCCGATCATTGGTCCACATATTTGATTTGGCACAGTTTTTACGCCGGATGCCCTTCCTGAAGCAGTCTTCCCCAGTTTTATCTGGGCTTGGGACCGGCACTGGAAGTGCACTGTCTTGTGCAACCCCAGTGACTGGGGTCAGTTCCCTGGCCGGGAATCGAACCCTGGCCACACTGGTGACAGCGCCAAGGCCTAACCACTAGTGCTCCAGGGACCCTGAGCATTAAAATGTAATAAGAGTACATAATTACAACAAAAGAAAACACCTTGCGCATTAATAACGCCAAGGAATCTTAAGAAAATGGGCAACAGAAAAACACTACTTTTTAAATTTTTCATGGAGAAAACTAATAATAACTCCTAAAGCATTATAAAAATCTACTTTCTTGATGAGGTGTAAGATCTAAGTTGGCAGCAATTTGTTGGATGGTACTGCTTTGGCTCATCGTTCCCAAGTACTGTTTAATCCATGATGTCATGTGGTTCTTCCAGAATTGATCAAATAAGCTTAAGCTTTTGGACTGAGCAGTTTTGTCCAAAAGCAATGCCATAGGTTTAGGTTTAGCATCCTTCATGCAACCATACCTTAAAATATTACCTAAATGAAACTACCTTGAAAATGGTAATTAAAATACAAATGATCCCCGTAACAAGTACACTTAAAGAAATGTAGCAGTTTCCCTTTTTAAACAGCATGCTTGCACTGAATCTCAAGATGTCCTTGGGGTAGAATACTGCAAAAGTGACCTGAGTGCAGAGCCTGCTCAAACACTGCACACTTAAACATTCATTCATTCATCTTCAGTTATCCTGGTCAGGGTCATGGTGCAGTATGCACTGGATGGGTTGCCTGTCCATCGCAGGGCATCATGCGCGCGCACGCACACATTCACACCTAGGGGCAGTTTAGAGTGGTCAATCCCACACAGGGTGAACATGCTGTTAATGTCATTTTCTTTGGAAATGTGAATTCATAAGTAGACAAACATGAATGTTTGCTTTATATATATTCATTTGGACAGTTATATGGACTTGTATCTGGTCTGTATTTATTTCCTGGTTGAAAATCATTTCAAATTAAGCAATCGGATTCTGCTCTCCAGAATGGCAGTGGATGTTAGCAGCAGCAGTGATTGGGATGGGCGATGGAGCCATGTGCAGAAGTTTCTGGAGAGGTCTGGACCCTTCACGCACCCTGATTTTGAACCAAGCGAGGAGGTGAATAACTAATAGATTTAGTCAATAAATTGAATTAAATATGGTTCTATCTTTTGCAAATAGCTTTATTGTTTCTCTTTTTTTTTTGCAGACACTCCAGTTTTTATTGGAAACATGCAAAATTCTAGTCATTGGAGCTGGAGGTCTTGGCTGTGAGCTTCTAAAAAACCTGGTAATGTTCACATATAGTTAGAAGATGGGTTAGGCAATCAAATACACCATTTGTGTATTTGCTTTTGCTAACCAGGGTCTACACTGAATACACTGCTCAACATTAGCATGTGTGTCTTAGTGACTGTGTTATTTTTATCCTCCTCCTTTAGGCACTGTCAGGGTTTCGGAACATCCATGTCGTAGATATGGACACTATTGACGTGTCGAATCTGAACAGACAATTCCTCTTCAGGCAAGGATTCAGTTTATTCAGCTGAATTACTACTACACTTCATTTCAGATCAAAGTCGTTGGTAAGCAGGTTTAATGTTGAGCTTTTGTGTTTAAAGGCCTAAGGATGTCGGGCGTCCCAAGGCTGAGGTGGCAGCTGACTTCATCAACAGTCGAGTTCCAGGATGTCATGTTGTACCGTATCCTTCACTGCATAAACGAGCTGCTTATATATTCTGTTGCAATGGAATGCATCTAAATGGATAAATGCCTTGTTCTTCTGTATTTTGGTACTTTGCTTCCTTAACTGGTGTAATTTAGACACTTTAAGAAAATTCAAGATTTTGATGAATCTTTTTACAGACGTAAGTTTCACATCCCAACAGGGCCTGGCTTTTAATTGGGCAGTTATATATTGTTATGAAGAAATTGTTGCTTCATCTTCTCTTTTTTTTTTTTCACGGGGGGTTCTTGTGCAGAATTCCACATAATTGTGTGCGGGCTGGACTCCATCATTGCTCGCCGATGGATGAATGGAATGCTGGTGAGAAGTGCTTCAAAGCTCCCATCATTCCTCTATGATCTACATACTCACAAATATTTAAAATGTTCCAGCTACAATGTCAGTGTTAATTCAAACCCCATAGCTGATCTGGATTAAATATGAATGCATTGAGAATGTGTTAAGAATGATAGTGCACACGTGTAAATCTATACTAAGTGTCTGGTTTAGAGCCAGATCACCTATTTCTGTAGTGAAAAGGTGGAATTGGATGATGAAAAGTCTGTAGCGTCATCTTGCTAGACACTTGTTTGTGTGTGCTCCCTTCAGTTGTCATTGCTTATCTATGAAGATGGAGTTTTGGATCCCAGCTCCATAATCCCACTAATAGATGGAGGTACAGAAGGCTTTAAAGGGAACCTGAGGGTCATCTTGCCTGGAATGACAGCCTGTATAGACTGCACACTGGAGCTATATCCTCCACAGGTAGTCTGGCTTCTTACATAAACTGGTCCAGTGCTGTGGAAAAGTATTTCTTCTTTTTTTGCATATTTGTCACACGTATTTTTGTTTCAGATCCTCAAACTAAATTTAATATAAGGCAAGCTCAACCTGGGAAAACACAAAATACAGTTTTTAAATGATCATTTTATTTATTGAAGGACAAAAGTTATCCAACACCAACTGGCTCTGTGTGGAAAAGTAATTGCCCCCTTAGTTACTCTATCAACCAGATTTAACTGATAATTGGGTTCAATTTGACTAGATACACCCAGGCTTGATTACTGCCAGCACTGTTGAATCTAAACATCACTTAAATAGCAATGTGAAATGCTAAAATGTCTCAGCAAGCAGCACTCTATGCTGTGATTTATAAGAAATTCTGGAAGAAAAGGAAAGAAAGTTATTCAAACATATCAGTCTGGAAAGGGTTACAACGCTATTTCTAAAGCTATGGGACTCCAGTGAACTATAGTGAGTGTCATTATCTCCAAATGGAGAAAACTTGCAACAGTAGTGACTCTTCCCAGAAGTGTCTGGCTTGCCAAAATTCCTCGCATCGTCAACTCCTCCGGGAAGTCTCAAAAGAACCCAGGTGAACATCTGAGGAACTGCAGGCCTCTCTCACCTCAGAGAAGATCAGCATTCATGACTCCACCATCAGAATGAGACTGGGCAAAAATGGTATCCATGGAAGGTGAAAACCACTGCTAACCAAGAGGAACATAAAGGCTCATCTCGCATTTGCCGAAAAAACACATTGATAACCTCCAAATTTTGGAATAATGGTCTTGTGGACTGATTAAAAAGTGGAAAATGGAACATTCTGGAAGACATAAGTCCCATTACATCAGGCATAAAGCTAACAGCATTCCACAATAAGAACATCATACCAACAGTCAAACATGGTGGTGGTATTATGATAGCGTGGGGATGCTTTGCTGTTTCAGGGCCTGGGCGACTTGGCATAATTGACGGAACTATGAATTCTGCTCTCTGTCAGAAAATCTTGAAGAAGAATTTCCATTATTTTCATTATTTCATGATCTTGTCATTAGTTCCTGATCTTGGGTCCAGTGTTGTTGCTGCTAAAGCTAGAACAACCTGTTATTAAGTTTAGGGAGGCAGTTAGTTTTTATATTGGTGATATAGGCCTTGCATAACATTTTCCTTCAGTAAATGAAATGATCAATTAAAATGAAAAAATACTTTTTCACACCACTGAAGCTTAATTTAGAACATTTAACCTGATGTATATTAACATATGAGAGTGTTATCATAGCACCCAGTAATCATGTATTGATTAAAGTATGAGTAGTTTTTGGTCAGATAGAATGCGTAGTTATGTTTGATTCAGTGCTTTGAGACTGAGGGTGCCTGTGGTTCTGTTGTGTGTTTCCAGATTAATTTCCCAATGTGCACTATTGCATCAATGCCACGGCTGCCTGAACACTGCATCGAGTATGTGAGGATACTGCAGTGGCCCAAAGAGAAACCATTTGGAGGTAGTACAATCCATCTCTCCATCTCTGGCACACGCTTCATTTTGCCACAATTATTCTTATGCATAGATTATGCAAAAAAAAGAGTTTACAATATGTCAGCCTGGTACATACACTATATGGCCAAACATACAGTCACCGTCCACTTTATTAGGAACATGTTGACACCTGCTCAATCATGCAGTTTTCTAATCAGTCAATCATGTGGCAGCAGCGCAATGCAAAAAATCATGCAGATATACGTCAAGAGCTTCAGTTAATGTTCACATCAATGATCAGAATGGGTTAAAAAGTGTGATCTCTGTGACTTTGGTCGTGGTATGGATGTTGGTGCCAGATGAGCTGGTTTGAGTATTTCAGAAATTTATAATCAACTTAATAATCAACAGAATATTGCAGAATCTGTTGATATGTACATTTTCCGTTTTCTCTAAACTGTATGAGATATCAGTAGAAAGTAATCCCCAAAAGACCACCAATGACCAGATATTATATGGGTAGTGGACCATTGTTGGCATAACAGGGATCCTGGTACGGTAGTGTGTGAGACATTGGTGCAGACGTATCAGGCACAGCAGCATTGCTTCTCAGTGTCACTGCTGCGTTCAGAAAAGTCAGATAGACAATTAACTGGTCATCAGCAGTCCATAGACTGGCAACTGAACAAGATGATTACCTTAGACTGTGCATAGAAGAAGCTGACATCTCAAACTCTACACCTAAACACTGTAAGTGTGTCCAAGAAATCTGTTGTGCCTGATCTCACAACACATTGTAGCAATACCATGTCAGTCTCAGTGTCACTGCTATGCTGAAAATCAAGATGCACCACTTTAAATAAGATCTTCTGAATGTTATTCTTATGGTGGTCTTTTTGCATTGGTGAATGGAGTAGAGTGTGGCTGAAACTTTTTCGAAGGCTACAGATGGGCTGCAGTCAAAGAAGGCCAGTTCACTCCTGGCATTAACATGCGTCCTGAGTGATCTGATCATAAGTACAAAGAGCTAAGTACAGGTGTGAACAGGGTCCAACGTTTTTCAGAGACGCATTGTGATTCGATTGCTCAAACCACCTTCCGGAGATGGTTTGGGATGCATATGACCACA